ACCTTTAATCCTAGCACTTAGGAATCAGAGGCAGGCATATCTCTGCGAGTTCAAGCCAAGGCTGGTCTACACAGATATTTACATAGAAAAACCCCATCTCAAAAAAATAAAACAAAACAAAAAGTTATGTAGCAAGCTTTCTTGTTGTACTATCTTTGGATTGCAAGGCCCCAAATAATGATACAGATTCATTTTTAATTATGAAAGTTTGACCTTTAGCTTAGGCTTATCTTCAACTACCCCTTATAGCTGAAATCAACCTCTTTCTATCTATCTTTCTTTTTGGATTTTTGAGACAGGGTTTCTCTGTATTGCTTTGGAGCCCAACTACTTCTTATAGCTGAAATCAACCTCTTTCTATCTATCTTTCTTTCTTTTTGGATTTTTGAGACAGGGTTTCTCTGTATTGCTTTGGAGCCTGTCCTGGCACTCACTCTGGAGACCAGGCTGGCCTCAAACTCACAGAGATCCACCTGCCTCTGTCTCCCCAGTGTTGGGATCAAAGGCGTGCACCACCATGCCCAGCCCACAGTATTTTTTGAGATACACGGTCTCATTGGACCTGGTGCTAACTGAGCTAGACTGGCCAGGAAGCCCCAGGGATTCTTTTGTCTCTGTTTCCCCACTAGTATTACAGACAAGCCCCACCGGAGGAGGCTGGGGACCCAAACTCAGGTCCTCATGCTTGTGTGGTCCCCTTTTCCAGCCCAATTAACCAGTTTCTATAAATCTGCATTCTGCAACATGGCTGGGTTACCTCTGCTCTGCATCGTATGTACGACGTCTTCAGAGTATCACTGGTTATCTCTCTGGTGTAATCCATGTACTTAGATTCTTCCTCTCTCTTCCTGGAAATCCCACCTATCTCTCCTGCCTAGCTATTGGCCATTCAGCTCTTTATTAAACCAACCACAGTGATACGTCTTCACACAGTGTAAACAAATATTCTGAAACAAAGGTTTTCTTATGCTGGCAAGAGGGCTCGGCTGGTAAAGAAGTTTGCCATGTAAGCCTCACAACTTGAGTTCGATCCCCAACCCATGTAAAAGTGGAAGGGAAATGACTTCACAACAGTTGTTCACAGACCTCCAAATGCATGAGACTATAAGATGAAGTATTTATCTAAATTGTTCTTTTTTTTTTTTTTCCCCAAGATAGGGTTTCTTTGTTGCTTTGGAGCCTGTCCTGGAACTCACTCTGTAGACCAGCCTGGCTTCGAACTCACTGAGATCCACCTGCCTCTGCCTCCTGTGTGCTGAGATTTAAGTTGTGCACCACTACTGCTTGGCATATTTCTACTCTTCTTTAAGGTATTTTTGTAAGTTGATACAAATTTAAGGTTATTTTTGTTATAACATTCTGTTTATATATTTCTACTTTTGTTTAAGGTGCTTGCCCCTCATTTAAAAATGCAATGAAAGTTCTGGTCTTTGAAAGATACTATTATAAACTATTTAGGATAATTTAATGCAGGTTAGTGGTTATCTGTAATCATACTTGTAGTCATGTTAGGTATGTTTTCAAGGTCAAACAGATATATTTTGGATAGGTGTCTTCAAACATTTCGGAAACCTACAGAATATGGCATCTAAGATGTTTAATAACATAAGACTTTTCATGAGAGTGATACATATCTATTCCCAGCAGCACCAATCTACTTCAAAGAACATCAGAGAACCACCTTATGGAATTTGCTTTCATTTGTGGCAAAAATTAGTTATTAGGCAAGAAACTCCCCTTGTCTTGACTGCTGACAGTATGGTGTCCAATGGGCAAGCAGGTCATAAAAGAAGGTAACTGCCAAACTTTGTCAAGACAAGGTAGGACAGTTCTTCAAATATTCGGCCTCACAGAGAAATCTGTCAGATATTCTAGGCCCATAGGCTGAAGATAGATGCCCCAACATTGCAGAGGAACCTTGAGTTACTCTCCAGGCAGCCAGATGTCTCTGTCATTCCTATAGTTTTGGAAGTTGTTTGCTCTGCACTTCCTGTTTACTCAGGTAATAGTATATTCTTCTCAGGGCTCTGATGGGGTTGAAAAATAGTTATACTGTTTTCTTTGTTACCAAATTCAGAAAAGAAACAAAAGAGATGTAAAGTTTATAAGGTTGAGAGACATAAACGCCTAAGTTATCTAAGAAAATGTTTTAAGGCCTAAAAAAGATATTTTTTTATGCTTGCAATGCATGTTATGATAGAAACTGGGTTAGGTACAAAACTTTGGACACATCAAGATAGAATGGATAATAGAACCGGGAGGCAGGGGAAATGTTGTGGGATATTTGATCTCATCATATCACTCCAAGACTGTTAATAAAGTTAACTTTGAATCAGGGTGGAGTCAGTGACTAGGTAATCAGTGAGTTCAAGGCCACCCTGGTCTACAGAATAAGTTCTAGGACAGCCAAAGTTACACAGAGAGACCCTATCTGGAAGAATCAAAAATAAATAAATTTTAAAAACTGTGCTATACCATTAGGCCAATTTATTCTCCCCCTCTCTCTTTTGAAAGATTTATTTATTATGTATAAAGTGTTCTGTCTGCATATGTCCCTGCAGGCCAGAAGTCAACAGATCTCATTATAGATGGTTGTGACCCAACATGTGGTTGCTGGGAATTGGATTCAGGACCTCTGGAAGAGTAGGCAGTGCTCTTAACCTCTGAGCCATCTCTCCAGCCCCACCAATTTATTCTCTTTCTTGGGACATTTTCTCTTGATGCTTTGTCCTACTTCCCATGTCTGTTTGTCCAGTGGTCTTTAGGTTCCTTAGTTGAATGCTTTTTTTTTTTCCTTCTGGAAAACAAAAACAAAAACAAGCCCCAAGTCTAACTTTGGGGAGTTCCCTTTGTTAGTCTTGTAAATTAGTTTAGATTAAATGGCCAGACTGTTTAATGAACTATTGCGTCTCCTAATCAAGAGGTCTCTTCTGTTCAAATCTCTAATCTTTATCAGTCTTGATGGTATCCATAGCTTTTCTTCTCCTGTGAAAACAAAAGGAAAACCTCTTCCACAACAACATATTATAATTGTCCTTTTTAAAAGGTGGTTTTTACAGTGTGGTAAAAATAAAGTAAAAAGAGATAGCTCAGTAGTTAAGAACACTTGTTGCTCTTGAAGAGAACCTTAGTTTGGTTCCCAGCACCCACATGATGGTTCACAATCATCTGTTACTCTAATTCCAGGAGATCCAATGCCCTCCTCTGACGTCTTACTTCCTCGGGTACCAAGCATGTGACACCCAGATATACACACAGACAAAACACTCATACACATAATCTCCAAGGCACCCTGCGTTATATAGTGAGAGCCAGGTATTCACAAGCACTGTGCATACCACCCACGCCTCAGCTACATTGCTGGCTCCTAGGAATTTCCCACATCACCACCCCCTTTCCATTTAAAAATACATGTCCTTTTTTTTGTTGTTTTTTGAGACAGGGTTTCTCTGACCTGTGCCTGTCTTTTTCTCTTTCTCTCTCTCACCGGAGTCTCATATAGTCCAGGCTGGCCTCAAGCTTATTATAATAAAGGATGGTCTTGAACTCTCCTGATCCTCATGCCTCCAACCTCCATAGGCTGGGATTATAGGCTTTATGCCACAGTTCCTAACTGTTGTTACTGTTTTTTAGACAGCATCTCACTATGTAGCCCTGGCTGTCCTGGACCTCACTATGTAGACCAAGTTGGCCTCAAACTCACAGAAGCCCACCTATCTCTGGGGCATACGCCACCACACCTGGTTAAGACTACATCTCTTGCTGGGCATGGTGGCATACAACTTTAGTCCCAGCATTGGGGAGACAGATCTCTGTAGGTTCAAACCCAACCTGGTCTACAAAGTGAGTTCCAGAACAGCCAAGGCTGTTAGAGAACCCTTCAAAGCAGACTGGGCTGACTATAGGTTCATGCTAACACACTTAACTTCATATTTTGTTTAAGACCAGAGTTTTACTGTGTTGCTCATGTTGGCCTAGTACTTGCTATGTTGTCCAGGCTGACCTTGATTTCTGTCTTAATCCTTCTCCCTCAGCTGAGTCAATCCTGGGATCATTGGCATGTACCAGCATGTACACCCAGCTTCTCATTTTAATTTTTGACAGAGGAACCACTCCATATATACAAGTTCACATATAAACTTAGGAAAAATGCTGTGGCAGAGGGAAAAGCCAGAGAGCTCCAGAGGGTCCTGCTTAGTGTTTGTGCAAAACGTGAGCTGCATTAGCTTGAGTGGGCACCATTCACTCAGCACCAGGTTTCCAGTATGAAGAGAAGAGGGAGTGGTGTCTAGGAGTGCCTTTTTAAATCCGTACAACCTCCATCTGCTGAGGAAGGCCTAAGCCTATTCACTTTTTTATCCTGAAGTTGGTACATACCACCGTTTCCTGTCATGGTCTGTGGAAAACAGATGCCATTTGCAAAGCTCAGGTAGACCGGAAGAGCAAGTGGCAGGTGGCTAGGAGTATGCCATTCACTGAAGGCCCTGCCGGGTAGCCCTGCAGGTGAGCGAGACAAGTTTCAGGACAAAGTGAAACTCAAACCCAGGAGCAACTATCAGGCACAGCTAAAAGGCTGCAATGACAATTCCTTTGTTCTGTAAGTGGGGATGTCAGGTTCAGAGATGTGAGACATAGCCAGATTACAAAACAAAAATGAATGGAGTCCAATCACCTGACTCAAGTGTACACACCCTTCTGTTACATCAGGGGACTTAATATTCTTACTTCTCTTCCTGGGGAGAGGCACTGCAGTTGGAGCCGAGGGTCTCCTGCATGCTAGGTAAATGCTATAGCCTCAACCCCCACATCTTTCACTAGATCAAAGTCAATTATTCGAACACATTTTAAAAAAAATGAAACAAAACCAAGTTTTTCCATGATGAAGATAAAAAGGAAGAAACACATATCCCATACCTAGACCTGTGCACAGTCAGGTTCACAGGATTTACATACACTGCTCATGCACAGGACACAGATAATATTGAGGCAACCACATAATAGCAGAGGATTTTTAAAAATTCAAGCTTTATTACTTTTTTGGGGCACTGTAGTCAACAACTGAAATGCTTAGGCCATTTAAGAGAACCAATGAATACCCACCACACAAGGCCTTCTGCTTGCAGAATAGATAGACCTTGGCTCTGCCTGTGTAGTGCAGAGTCCATCTATTCCTAATGCCGACTCCTATCTGAGACAGTCAGCTCCTCCTGATGACCAATGCATTCGCTGGTGATGATTCGATTTCACCTAACCCCATAAGGTGTATCTTAGCCCATCTTCATTTCTGTCAGAAAAACAACAAAAAGGTACCTAATCTAGTACAGCATCCCCAGATATTCAGGGACCAAATTCCAGGTCAAGACGACAGGGAGTACTCTATGTTGCATGTTCCTAGTCCTGATCCACATACCTGCTACCCTGATGCACTCTGGGGTTCAATCCATGCCTATATCATACATGTCCTGTGAATATACAAGGAGTTTACAAGCCATCAAGTATAAAGCATATTTACCTCACACCCCCTGCATAGAAGAGAATTGGCCTCATCACCACATGATACTATAAAGGGAATCTTGAGAGACTTATTCTTTCTAATATGTGTATGAAAAGGGATGGGGCAGAGTGGAAGTGAAAAAGGTTGGCTCACTCCAGGTCAGAGGGAAACAGATAAAGTATCACCAACTTTCTGAAACATACTCGACACAAAGGATGCAGCCAAGTGCTCAGTGCCTCGTCTGACCTCCTCTTATAACTTGTGAAAATGAGATAGGCCAGTTCTGCTGTTCTGTGCATGACACCTATAGCAACTACCAGATCTGACAAGAGACTGACAAAAGGCTGTGAAAGATGAACGTCTTAGTCACATGGTACAAATATATATAAAAACACACTAAGGAAGTTCTAAATCT